AAGAAACATAGTATGGTTGTGTCCTCAAAATATATTACGATTTTTATACTATTTTCATTATATCTGGCAGGTATTTTTATAATATCTGCCTAAAGATCAACTTATTCTCAGAGCTTACGTTATGTGTATATAAAATTGGTAGGATCCCCTGATAAATAACCACAGCGAAATAACCAAAGGAAATAACATTTTTACAACTGTCAAACCGCCACCAAATTGTACCGAACCCTAAAAACGAGAGCTTTCTTTTGTATTTTTAAAACTCTTTTGTAAGCACGCTTGTATGTATAATGCTTTGCCGAACAAAATTTTAGCATCAAAAGTTCATTGACCTGTTTCAAATGAGCTTGTAAAAATAACTTACAGAAATATAACTTCGTTCGACAGTTTTTTTTTACTTAGTAAGCTGTGTGTACTATACAATGAAGAGTCTAATAAACAGAAAATACAAACTTTAATTAACGTTTCATAAGCAGTAGATCTACGAAGACAAACCAGTAGTAAGGGTCTATGTCGCTCCAACAAGTTGTTGCAATCAGTTACCTAGAGAAAATATTATTTTCCTACAGAACGTATCCACTAATGGCAAGCAATAAGTTGTATGTAAACTAGGTACTTTATTTTTGTATTAATACGTTGATACATCGTCATCTGCACTCATATAACATTAAAGATAGTATCAAAGTACCTAGGTATAGAAAGTAGATAATGCCCATTGAGTTTTCGAAAAGAGGACTATTTAGTTATAATTTAATATGCTATACGTATATTTAAAAAAATGCAATTTTCGTTTAGTTTCCGTTAAGGACCCTAGAAGTTATTCTAGCTATGTTACTCTGAAATATGCACATACATATCTATACATTCCTTAGCAAAGCATAAAGTAATATGAAGATAGGCACGAAACTTACCTAATGCTCCTCATACCGATTAGTGCTTGACCGACTCCCGCCAAATTGAAGCGATCACCGAATACACAGAACGCATTTCACGAATAGCGAAGTAGCCCACGATCGATAGTACTCGTTCACTACAAAGGCGTGCGGGCGCTGCACGCGGCACGCCGTGCGTCCGACGCTCCTACCACACATATTATTCTCAAGTTATTATTTTACACGCACGTCCACTCATGAGAAAAGCAACTTGAGACGACCGCAGCGTTCGAAACCTTAATACTTCCCTTCGCTGCAAATATTAGGTGACAGAATCGAAGACGGAGCCAATCGAATACCTTCAAGCGAATTATTTGCACGGTTTCAGACTCTAGATAGCAACATTCTTCGTCTAATATTATAGGCGAGAAAATATAGTCACTTCTAATTACTTCACAGATTTACGCAAATATTTGAATACTAACGGTACAGAGATACGAAAACTTCGTAACGCGTCTGGCGAATACCAAAATAATATGAACAATATGGGGACAGGAACCGGAGTCGCGTAATAATAAGAGTGCTTGCGTGGGGATGGTACGGAGGGTGCATTGTGCACCGGCAAATTTTGGAAGGGCCCGTTCCGAAAGCCCTTGTTTATTCCCCCCCTGCACTTGCGCAAGATGCGAACCAGTTTTGATTTTTGTGAATCAACTCGTGGAGTAAGCCAACCCAAAGGGGGTCTTTCATCCCAATAAGCCGTTATAGACCGGTGCCGAACTTTTGTCACACACTATTTGTGGCCGATAACAATATGCATGTAATCTAAACTCAAAACTAATTTAAAGATCTTATCGTAAACGTAAAATTCATACACGTAAAGTTAGGTCGGATTTGTTACGAATACCGAATGCGTACATCATTTCATGATAAGGCGCAATGATAATGGCGGTACTCGTCAACTAATTTCGGAGAGTATAAAAAGTCGCGATGCACAGAGCCTTTCAATCAAATTGATGTTTTAAAACCGGTATTTCCAACACGGTGAGCTAATAACTATACCATGCAATAATAGGAATAATAATAGCAAAGGGTCCGTACCAGTCGACTTTTTTATGTTTAAGGGGTCACTGATCACTCACGATGGATAAACTAGTAATGTAGCTTGCTACTTTAGCAGTAAAACAATTTAAATAATGAGGTATTTTAGGTGTTCATCTTTATACTTACCTTATAATGCCAGTAACGTTTTAGGCAAATGAAATTAAGCATCTCAATGACAGAATACATCTTAACATGCCTAGCGACGCAAGCAAAGGAAAGTGGAAGTTGTGCGTTTAAAAGTATGCACCAGAGACACTATCACCAGAGATCCTAACCCAAACTTCGGAAGATTTGAGTAAATGACTTTTTTATGGTATCGCAGGATTGTCATCATATTTTCATTACTTAAAAAGCCTTAGAATACGGGCTTATCCACATTCTTTTCAGTTTTATCTTTTCTAAATTTAAATTGCTCCGAGAAAATTTCGGATTACGTATTTATAAAGGTAGACGTAACAAGAGGACGTAATGAGAGTTTAGTCAATAAGAGAGTTTAGGCTACGACACATGAACCAAAGATCCTCAATAATTTGATGATCAATTGATCGGAATGGTGATTAATGAAACTTCTGCCTAAGGTTAGATAACTCTTATGGATATCTATCCAATTAATTACATTAAGTTAATAGGTAGTAATTATTATTAAAGTAGTAATTTTTTATCGCGGACGCAGTACTTAGATGTCTCTTTATTTCGCCAGTTATTATTTGACCCCGTGTTATATGGGGTTATTTAATTAGATCTTTGTCCTTTGTTATTAAAAATAGATAATTATGTATATACCTACTATATGAAATCTATGTTCCTGTGTATTAGGTTATAAAGTATAGTGCACGTGAAAAATAAGTAGGTACGTACAAAATCAAGAGACTAGATATTATTGTGCGGTGATAGATCCGACGACTGGCGACGAATTCCAGGCTGATGGTTAAAGTTTCATCTTGATACATACATATCCAATGCTCTCGTAAATATGCAAATAGTTCTTCTATCTTCATGTGAGACTTCTTTACCACTCACCAAGTTTATAGTTGAATTATTTTCTGTTAGCAAAAACAGTATCAGAAGAACTGAAAAAGGAATCGGTAAAAAACGTTCTTTTTTTTGCGTTTCAAGGCTTTAACTAAACTCAATCCTTTTAGAATGAACTTGTTTTGCTGCGACGTTTACTACTTCAATAGACATCACAGGGTTTAGATTTGGAGGAATCCAAGAGAAGTAAGTTTTGGAATAAAAAATAAAAAACTCTTTTAAAGAAAGCAATCAGCAGAAACCGATGCACGTAAATTCGGTGGTTCGCATAGATACAGCCACCAAAACCAGCAATTCAGATGTCTAATAGCAGGTTCGAAATCAAGATTATTTGATCACCAGATAGTAAGCAAAACCAGAGTTTCAACCAGAGGGTCACAAAAAGCGATAACGGCCTTTTGTAATTTATTACAGATTCAAGAATTGAGCCGAGCCAAGCTCCGACACGAACGGGTCGGCTCGACCGGAGTATATCACTGCCTCACAGAAAACCAAAACCAGCACAGCATTGTGTTTCGCCGTGTGTGTAAGGTTACCGGAGGTTCAATCCCTAAACCTCTAAAATCCTAATCCGCAAAAGGCCGGCAACGCAATCGTAACGCTCTGGTGTTGCGGGTATTCATGGGCTGCGCTAATTGCTTACCATCAGGTTATCCGTAGGGGTGTAAACTGCCCTACGGAGTGGAGAATTAGGCCTGCGGTGACTTCCATAACACGATAAAAGACACAAGCGTCGTTTTACGTCGCTTCTGACACAGACACAGTGGTATCACTCAGCACAAAACGTAAAAAATCCCACATCAGGTGAAAAGAAAAAAGACTTTAAAAGATAAAACACGTATCACAGGTTTGAAGAATATTATACAAAGTAAAACAAACAATTCTTGATGTATTGACACTTCGCAAGAAGGAATGGAAGAATGATGCCAATTTTAATGAAATGAGCGTTACGTGTTTTTCTGCATCAGGGTAGACTAGCTTCACTCACTGTGTAGCAGTCCTCTGTTGGGTCCGGTAATTAAATAATGAAAACTTATCAAGTACCATGATCAAATAAAGTTAGGTACCATAAAATTATAAAATGTGAGTGCACTCATCGCCTGAAAGTTCTAAAAGAAAAAAATGTTTTAGAATATAAAATTTATAATGGGCGTCCCTAGTGTGATGTTGTATAGCCTGTAGCACTCGGAAACATTGTAGCTATATATCTAGATATCTAGCTAGCTATAGTGAAAGAATTTTGGAAATCCAACCAGCAGTTCCAAGTATAACCCCCTACGGAGTGATACCACGGCCAATTTCCAAATGTTAAAATGTTACTGATTCAAAAGTTATAGCTACTGTTCAATATAGCAAACATAAAAATCATATTCAATTTGTAGTTAAAACTTAGTTGTTACATGAATGTTCTACATGACAGTGGGCGTCGACGTATGTATATTGTTAAAATCTCGAAACACATGCGTTTAAACGAATACAAATAAAAACAATATAGAATATATTAGATATTGAGTTCTCACTTCTCATACGTCTATCTAAAGCGATACAAATGTCGTACCTATGGCTATATAAAATAACCTACTGAACTAATACCTTCTTAGGTAAGCCTTTACCTATGCAATGAAATAAATATTTATCACATTTCATAGTATTTTAACTTTTAAGTTTCTGAACGAGTGAAATTATTGTATAATGTTCCCGTAAGATGGCGCTATCTTCATATTCGTCAATTCTCTTTGGTTTAGCGTTGCGCTGTGCGCTAGTCTATCGATTTTACGAATACACTTAGTATGGTCACAACAAAAAATTAAAGTAAAGAAATACATTTTAATCTAACAATCTGATGCATTTACCTGAAATATTGACGACCAATAAGTATAAAATAGGCATTTACATCGGTAGATAAGCTAAATATTAATATAAAAGCTCTTTTGAAAATTGTGATTCTTCATAAGTATCAGATAACTTTTCTGGCAACACACACATGTCTATGAATTTGACCCCGAAGCTCGTGTCCGGAGCAGAAGGAGAGTGTGGTGTAGGGCTAGGCCCTTCGTTTTTGATCTTCATCTTGTCGAATATTGTGTAAAATGGGCACATAATAGGTAAATAAGTCATTTTTCAATGAATATTACGATCAAATTCTCCTTCTATTCGGATGGTGGATTTAATTTGTTCTATTAAAAATATATCGCGAGCCATACGTACGAGTTCGTAACGCTAAGAATATCGGCCAAAGTCGAGTAATGATAATTTTGTTAGTATAAAAACTAGTAACAGTGATATTCTTAAATGAGTAGTGGTTTTGTGTCCGGATCTTATCTCGTGTGTGAAACGGACATATTAAATGCATTATATTATTATGTCCTCGGGATTTGGTGAATGTGTTGAGACAATGGTGTATCGATTATTTTGCGCTAACCAAATGTCATCCCGGTGCCGTAGTGTTAATATTAGAAGTCTATGTTTGTGACCACGATTACTATTGTCTAGGCATCTACGCGTTTTATATTAAGCATGTAGAACTTCAATTTAGCTTGGGTGACCAAAATAGTGTCGACGTTTTTCATTCGGATAAATTCATTCGCTCCTTGACAATATCTATTTTCTGACTATTTCGTGAGTGGAATAAGAACAGCATGATTTAAGAGAAAATATAAATAGCACTTAGTCCACACAATTTAAAATACGAACTCAGGATTACTTAAAATATGCATAAAAATACATATATTTGTGGTATGAGAAATATTAAAAATAAACCAGTACATTAAATTAAGTTTTATAGGTCTTATAATATATATTTAACGTTTTACATTTGGAATAAAATGTTATATCTTTAAAGGGACCTGATTATCTCGAATTACTGCATTAATTTTATTTACAAGTTAAACAGATTTTCGTTTTTATATTGTAAATAAAAAGTACCTACATAAAAATAATTATAATATTGATGTCGGTTTTTGACATCTTTTAACGTAATCCAATTATAGAACGATACTACGCAGTCAATGACATTACATGTAAAATATAAAGAGTTCTTTTCAATAACATGTTTCTTTTTTGTTACAGTTAACATACTCAGATATTGAAGATACGTGCTCAAAGTTTACGCAGTAAGTTAACTGTTACAATCTGGTGAAGTAAGTATACTGTGTTAAAATGGCCAACCCAAATCGTGAAAGTGTCAGTACGCGGTTTTCTGATAATTATGATCTTAAAGAAGAATTGGGAAAAGGAGCTTTTTCAATCGTTCGCCGTGCTGTGCAGAAATCAACCGGTTACGAATTTGCAGCCAAAATTATTAACACTAAAAAACTCTCCGCAAGAGACTTCCAAAAGTTAGAGAGAGAGGCCCGAATTTGCCGAAAACTTCAACATCCTAACATTGTGAGACTCCATGACTCGATTCAAGAGGAACATTTTCACTATCTGGTTTTCGACCTGGTAACGGGCGGTGAATTGTTCGAAGATATCGTTGCCAGAGAATTCTACTCTGAGGCTGATGCGTCTCATTGTATACAGCAAATTCTTGAATCTGTACACCATTGCCACCATAATGGGGTTGTTCATAGAGACTTAAAACCAGAAAATCTCTTGCTTGCTAGCAAAGCTAAAGGAGCTGCAGTGAAGCTTGCTGACTTCGGATTAGCCATTGAAGTACAAGGCGACCAACAGGCTTGGTTTGGTTTTGCTGGTACTCCTGGCTATCTATCACCTGAAGTACTTAAAAAAGAACCATACGGTAAACCAGTAGATATCTGGGCGTGCGGTGTGATCCTATATATTTTGCTTGTTGGATATCCTCCATTTTGGGATGAAGATCAGCATCGACTGTATGGGCAAATTAAAGCGGGAGCGTATGATTACCCGTCGCCCGAATGGGATACAGTAACGCCCGAAGCGAAAAGTCTCATAAATCAGATGTTAACTGTTAACCCAAGCAAGAGAATAACGGCTTCTGAAGCCCTTAAACACCCATGGATTTGCCACCGGGAACGTGTTGCTTCTGTTATGCACAGGCAAGAGACCGTGGACTGTTTGAAGAAATTCAATGCACGACGCAAACTGAAGGGTGCAATTTTAACAACTATGCTTGCTACACGCAATTTCTCTGGAAAATCTATGGTAAATAAAAAAGGAGACGGGTCACAGGTCAAAGAATCAACTGACAGCAGCACAACATTGGAAGATGATGACCTAGACAAGGACAAGAAAGGCGTAGATAGAGCATGTACTGTAATTTCCAAAGAGCATGATGAAGAAGCGCTGACTAAAGCTGATTCATTTGGCAAAGCTCGTGGTGACAGTAACGCTTCTTTGCGCCGAGCTGAAGTTATTAAAGTTACTGAAGTGCTCATAGATGCAATTAATAACGGTGATTACGAAACCTATTCCAAATTATGTGACCCAAATGTAACTGCATTTGATCCAGATGCACTAGGCAACCTTGTGGAAGGCGTCGAATTTCATAAATTCTTTATCGATAACACGCCAACCCATGTGAAAACAAACACGACGATCTTAAACCCTAGAGTGCATCTTCTCGGTGATGATGTAGCGGTAATCGCATACGTATGCGTAACACAAAGTGTGGACGCCGAGGGCCGACGAGCCACACACCAGTCGCAAGAGACTCGCATATGGCACAAACGCCACAACAAGTGGACGGCAATACATTTCCATCGCTCCTAACTAGTCCCTTCTACCACCCAAACATGTACGGTAGAGGATAATGGTCTTGTAAGTCAGGTGACACGTAATGGAGACATCGTTACTTTGCAACAGTCTTTAACAATTCAAAGTATCGAGTAAGACCACGAAACTACAAAATCCTCTTCATCGTACAGTATAAAATTTATTATCCAATTCTGCTATGAAACTTACACGAATTTTATTAGAATTCTTTGTAATCCAAAAAATTAAGTTAATTACTTATAGGTAAATGTTATTGACACCTGTGTAAGCGATTCGGAAGTTGATTCTTATCCGTTAAAGTCACTAAATAAAAATACGATGTGGCTAAAATGTGATACCGTTAAATTCAATGCTTTGTGCTAGTTATAGTAGAGTGTACAAAAATCTGATCTCTGACAAAATCGAAAATATGTCAACGAATATCGAGGCAAAGTGTTTCATGAAATCTCAACATAACAACAGATCTGATACTAATGAATCTATATTATAAGTAAATCAGCAAAATTTTCAAGATTTAGAATATTTAGCACATTTCTCAGTAAGTCTCTCTACATTTTTAACTATGAATGTTTTGTCGTGCTTAAAAATGGTGTTCTATTTGTTATGAAATACCTAGTTATTAAGATTTAAGTAACTAATATATTCTGCAGTTATTGGCACTATGCACTTAGATATATGTATCCTTACAGTGAGGTCGTAGTTTATTAAAATTAACTTTCATCTATTTGTAGATTACTCAGCTGCGTTACATTCTCTTCAACTATTAGAATCTTACATGTGTACCTATTAGCTAGTACAGCATCAATGTGCGTATTATATTTTAAGTGAATTATATCAATTTCGTCAATTTTAGATTTTAATGTTAATGCCATTATTATGCTTTCGGCTTTCCTCACCAGGGCATTAGTGTGCAGTTAATATTTTCTTTAATTACCACTTATTGGGCCGATCTAATTGTTTGCTGTATTGGTTTTATACCAGGCATCAACACAAATGTATTTGACATAGCTTAGAATTTTAAAGTGATAACTGTGCAAGAGAATGGTCTGTGTGATGGTATTTTATGAACTAAGAGGAGCTTTGTCAACAGTGATATTAATGTAATAAATGTAAAGTGTTTTTTGCACAGTTTCACTTAAGAAATGTGCTTTAATGGGATCTATAACTGTAAGTCTGCAGTAATTTCAGTATTTCCTATAATATATACTTAGATATAAATGACATTTATCCATGTTTTTTACAATTTTGTAATATATTTTAGTATAGTTAGCAAAACTTAATTTATGACCATCAAAGAGAGTTGAATTGTAATATTAAATGCATAATAAAATCTACATTGTGAACCAACTTTTCATGTTGGTATAATTTTTCACTGTATACAGAGTACATAGTTGTGCCATTATCATTGAAATTAGTGCCAATAACTGTAATAACTAAAAATGTATTCTAGTCTTTATTGTTACCTACGCATATTTAGTAATTAATCAACATTTTTAAATTAATTTTGAACATATATTTACATACATAGGTACATAAACTTACATGTGTACATAGTTATTGATTTGCACATTGCATGTTTAAAGTGTCGTCTTCGTCATTAGCTAAATAAAGTATTTTCTTTGAAAATATTTAATGAGGGTTTGTTATCTAGATCATGTTGAATTTATTTAATAATTTACTTCTACTTAAATAGCGGCTCTCCGTTGATGTTAAAAGACTAGATATTGTCCACGGAGCTGTCAGACCCTAAAAAGCATAGATAGTTATATCTAGCTAGGCATCAGTTGTGCTAATCCATTGTTGGGAAATAGCGTGATATAGACACAACACAACTTGTTAGTTTTTTAAGCTCAGTCGTAAACATCACAGTATGTAACTTTAATGTTTTATATACTTACTTACCTACTTAAGTCACTTTTGTTTTATTGTTATTTTTTAAACAGTAGCCTAACAGCTCTAACTTATTAAAATTCATTTATTTAAAATATACTTAACTAGGTACAGCTGAAAGTTTGCATTGGGTCTATGAAAATCCCTTTTCCCAAGAAAACCTTTTGGGTACTTATCTATTTCTTATACACCTACATTATCAAAGTAACTATTAATATTCATAAAGGTCAGTATGAAACACCAATGTATTGAAGTATTACAAAAAATATATTTTATTGACTAGACTAATATGTTACATAACTATCAATGAAATGCAATATTTACTATTAAACTGTTAAATTTTGTCAGAATTTAATGAAATACTACTTAAAGCAAAATAAATTATGTATATAAACCTATCTACCTATGCAGTATGAGAAGAAGCACAAATCATCATGATAATATCTTCCAGAATATCTCACAAATCTCAAGAATATTTTAAGTATTTATGTATGTTTTAGTCTTCCCCGGACAGTAGTCCAGATACCAAATTAAAGGGATACCTATACACAGCTACTGTCAGCTTAAATTCAATAGTTTAACTTTTTCAAAAATTTAATCTGCTCTCCGCAAATTGTTAATAATGCACATTTACCTGTTTGCATGCATTTATCTCACCGGCTTTTACATTTAGGAGGGCTTGTAAAATGACATTTAACTTTTTCCATTGGCTGCTTTTTATTCTGTACATTTACAATACTTAATAAATATATAATAATAAATTATTTTACATTAAAGATGTACTTAAACTTTACTATTTCATGAAACCATTTGTATCAAATATTGACACTACTGACTTTTCCAAGATCTGCTAAATTAATTACCTACTAGATGTGTGATACAAATGGTTTCATGAGAAAAATTATATACATAATATGGGTGCATTGCAATAGGGGTACATTTTTAAATATACTAGTATAAATCGTTTTTGTGTCATAATTTTCAATTAATAATTACTTGTGTAGTAAAATTGCTGATAATCTCAATAGATTAACATTATCTATAATATTCAGCTAGAATTGTGTTTAATGTTTCAAAGCCAAACATTGCAAAGTTAATATTTGTAAGGCTATATCAACATTAACTTGACATCATTATTAGGGTGTTGATTAAGTGGATATGAACAATGTGTTTAGTCAAAATTCCATACCAATTTGCACCCACGCCTAGGTATGTGGTTGAGATTATTTTATATGTTTATAGTTAGAAATATTACCAAAGTATTTATACTTTAATGCACCACAAACTTCATTTAGGATTTGCTCTTTTTTGTCATGAAAGCTAAGTTTGTTGTAGAATATATCCAATGTGGATGTATAGGTGTATTAAAGAATTGTCAGTATATTTGTATTAAACATTATTACTTGGACCTCTGCATTGCCGATTATCATGTAAAATTCTCTAAAATAAAGTTCTTTTGATCTACAATAACTCATGATATTTTATTTTACATCTTTACATTACACTGTTAAACAATCAAACACTTATAAGAGTGTCAACAATTTATATTACACTACATACAAACTACATAATTAATTTAATCAATATACATACATACAGTGGGAATTGGCTACTTCATACATAAGCCAATGTTTACAAAATAAGAACATACCTCAAACAATATTCAAATACTTCATCTTAGAGTGAACACCTTTGCAGCCGTCAACATCCACATCAAAGTTCTTCATCACATCCTCCAATTCCTTATCATTTAACTGTCTGTCGACCAACTCTTGCTTGATACATTGCTTCAAGTGATACTTTGTAAGAGGTTTGAAATCAACAAAAGTTGTTGACACTTTTATCCCTCTCAAGTTCTCCAATAATTTCTGACGAAATGTCTCATCACAGTTTCTTTTAAAATCTGCAGTTGATACATAACAATTATATATTAGAATCACTGTGATTTCTTTGCCTAAGTACTCACTTTTTTCTACAACTTTCTGTATTTGTGTTCTGATGTGCATATCATTAGCAGTCAAATCATCCACTATTAGCAATGACTTCTTACACATGGTCAAACCATACATAAAGTCTGTTGAGAACGAATTTGTGAAACTAGGCATAGTATAGTGATACACATTAGAACATGGTCCCAGACTATTCAACAAAATAGATGATACTAGAGTTTTCCCTACTCCAGTTCCTCCTGAGAATATTATTAGTTTTCTATGGTCTTGCTGTCCCAATGACTCTATTATTGTATTAATAACGTCTGTCTGGCCATATAATTGATGCGTAAGTGAGGTTCTTAACTCTTCTAGTTTGAAATCCTCAAAGCACTTTAAACTATAAATATGTAGTGCAAATATGGACAGTAATATTACGACACCAACTGAGATAGACTGGGATAAAACATTGTTGTAACTTTTGGATGGTCTCTGCATGTTTATATGAAATTTCTTCACAGTTGGTTGAATGGCTGAGGTCCTATTGTCGCTAATCACTTGCACATCTTCGGCGACAAAATCAGGTTTTTCGGTCTTTATTACAGTCGACGTGTAGGACGGTTCATCATAAGAAATATCCATGTCTCGAACTGAATGACCGCTAGTATCGATGTCCATTGGCTCACAACTTAAATCATGATTCTCCATTATTAAATATATATTCAGTGAATAAATACAGACATATAACCTCTGAATGAACAATTAGTGATATGCATGAATTTGAATAACGTCAAACATCGATATATTTGTAATAAAACATTTAGCACAGATTACTATAGGAGAACATTTTAAATCAAAATATTTTTAAATCTAACCACCAAAAATTTTGACAATCACTTATAAACGTCATTTTACACGGTTGCACCGTGACAATACTAGAGCTGCGTTTAATTAGATTTACGTTTACAGTAGATATGTCCCAATGATTTTCACGTAACTCGACTGTACTGTTGTTAAGTGCACGAAAACGAAAAGGCTAACTAATACATCATCAATATATTTATAGTCACAGCCCAATAATACATACATATCAAATGACTTCTCTCGCCCAGTGTGAGGCAAGGGGAGTAACAGACACTTACTAACTAAAATGCTCTCGTTCCTTCTCCTTCTTTAGGCCGAGTTTCTATTATTTTGTGTTTTTTAATGTTTTCTGTGTATGAATAGGGATGCCAAGTGAAAATAAAATCGATAGGTAATTAGTTACTTGGCATACCTATAGTATAAATTTTGGCATCCCTAATGTTGGGGATGCGACTGTAGAATACAAAAAAATATATCGAAAAAAAACTAAAATTTAAACAATAGTAATATTAAAATTTTAACAAGAAGTTTGTCGAGCTCTCCCGCCATTACCTACTTACTTCCGTCGCTTTCGTAGCTTCTCGTCATGCGGTACCTACTTCACTGACATTCCATCTGTCTTCCACGTAGAGCTTTCTCTGTTTGCTGATAAAAAGGCCATTTAATACACACACCACTTTTTTTTTGTATTGCTTTGGAAAATCCTTATGGAGACCCATCGCCCTCGGGGACGGGCGAAGGGTACTGTCAGACTCTTACTGACTAAAAACCAACCCGGTGTTCCTCCACTTACCCATGTGTCGCAGGGGCAGGTATCGCCGAAGCATTCGTCGCAACCCCCCGACGGAACACACCACAACCCAACTTCCGATAGCCCAAAACTACGCAACCACATTCGGCAACTGATTTCGGAGACATTGATCACTACAGAAACCAGATGGTACTATTCGTACAGCCCCGAACCATTTTATTAAGGCTTCGTCAAACCACTGTTTTCGGTAAGGCTATTCCTTAAAAAGAGCTAGTAAAACGTATCATACTGACCATCACTTCAAGTTCAGAGATCACTCTAAGTTCGCGGGTAACCTTGGCCCTCTGTAGCCTCTTGCCCATGCTGAATACACGTAGCTTACTTTGATATTTTGTTAGTTTCATGTTATTACCATGTGCATATTATGTAGTATTAGACACACATAATTCCAAATGGATTAAGTTCGCCTTCTTCAGCACACTCTCGACGAACGAGAAGACCCCTTCACATCCCTGCAAGGGCAGCAGCGTTCTTTATAGATACAGATAGAGATAAAGCGGCCACCCCACCGATGGGCTGAATGTTCCAGTTATAAACCTCTACAATCCTTGCTAAACAATCAAGCTAGCAATGAATGTATTGAACTTATTGACACTTTGTAACACCTTTTATGTAACTGTTGCAAAGGATTCATCACCGGCTGGATACCATTTACTTCCAACGGCTCCAAAAATGTTTTACATTTATTAATGGATAAACATAATACAATAAAATAAAAATATGATCTAATCAATCATTGAAAGGTTCATTGATAAATTGTATTAAAATTATCGATAGTTCTGTGAAAAAATACCCTATTTAATTTATCGATACTTTTTCTCCACGCTCTACCTCAGTGGGAGCTGGGGTCATTGTGCCGTGCTTGTCACGAATTACCATCAACAAAGATTAGTACGTTATTTCGAAATGGGTGATAAAAATGATTGCCAAAATATTGTTTATAAATCAACACCGCCGCCTTCAAATAGAAAAGTACGAAATCCTTTCGATAAAGCTTTGATTGATAAGCTCCACAAACCTATATGCAGGTAATATGGTGTTATTTTTTATATTTAGTACCTAGATAGAAATATAACAGTCACGGATTCATCATCTAATCAAATCGTGGTATTTTGTTTTAGTCCGGGTATGTGCAAGATTTATAAGAAAAAGAGCAATGGATCATTTCGGTGGGATATTGACCAGGCTTGCACCCTGGTCCCAGCAGACATTGTAGCTTGCAATAGTCAATTTGAGCCGTCGCCCGATCCTGCTTTGGAGAAAATTGCTGAAGAAGCTACTGACAAGTAATATGTCGTTTTTTATTATCAACTACATTTGTATTTTTAAGCCCTAAGCCAAACATCTATTGAAGCAAACATTCAAATAGATAGCATAATCCAAGAAAAACTAGAGCTTCAGTGATGCTTGAAGCATTCTGTGTGTTAGTTTTTCATAACACTAGTTGAGAGTCTGTTTCATAATTTATGATTTATATGGTATTTCTTTTTTGCTTATTGAATAGAATCTATAATCTTAAGATATTGAGATACCTATTTTTAGTGGTTTCATTAAACCATTAATTAAGTAGTATACACTAAATATTTTACAAAGTTACCACATTTCATATCTAAAATTCATAGTTTGCTATAATGTACTCTTGAAGAACTTGCTTGGCTTAGTTGAAGCCCTCCACCAAAGCGAAGCAAGGTAGTACTATCCAGAGACCACATGAAGAAAACCATTGAGTTCTCCCCCATGTGTATAAATGGGGTTTCAGTATAATAATGTTTCAACCTCTATAAACGAACTAAATCTCAAATAAGTATGCAATCAACATCAAAAAAATTTTTTGTTGTAAATGAATGACTATTAATGATTAATCATTGTTTATTAATTATTAGCTGTCTGCCTTTTAAATGTAACAAGTCAGTGACATCATCACTTGCACATCTTATAAGTTAAATAAATAAAAATCTGACTGCAATTATATGACGGTACTATGGAAATCAAAATCGTAAATGATTTTGTTTTAAATTATGTTCATAAGCTTTTTATTTTATATATATTGTAGTGTATACAAAGAAAAACTTTGTGTTACTTATAAAATTCACAGGAAAATTGTTATTATTTTTACAATTAAGACTAGCTACATTTAGTTAATTATTTGATAAAGGGGCATTAAGTACAAAGATAGATAAGATGTATAAAAAATAATTCACAATATTAATTCTTAACTTGAAATTTTCAGATTTTTTTCACAAGAAATGGTAATGCCAAGCCCATTAATAGAATCATCCAAAAAGGCTAAACCATTACTGCAAACATCTATTGAAGCAAACATTCAAATAGATAGCATAATCCAAGAAAAAGTTGTGACTAAAGATGGTGAGTTGGCCTTTTAACTACATAGTTTCAATTATTTAATAATGTATAAAAGGTATATAATAATATGTACTTATGAAGAGTTTGTAAGTTTTATTGAATTTGCAGATCTTTATATAATACTAGCTACTCTCGCGCAGTTTCACCCGCTGCTCAGCTCCATTTGATCGTAGCGTAATGTTTTATTGCCCATAGCACTCGTTAACATTGTAGCTATCAATAAGTGAAAGAATTTTGGGAATCCAACCAGTGGTTCCAAAGATTACCCCCTACATACAAACTTACAAACATACAAAAATTTTACCTCTTTATAATATGTATATATAAATAAAAAATATAAATATAATAAGTACAGAAAAACAGTTCTGTTATGTTCTCATCTGATTTTCTGTATAAATAATATTATGTATTGTGCTCTCTGCAACCAAGAATTTTATGTGTATGGTTGCTTTTTCACAGTTGGAGATTTTCTTATTGGATAGTAGATAGGGGAGGTGTAAACTTTATTAAAGATTACTGACTGCTATATGATAAAAAAATTAGTTTCAGCTCAAACAGTGCTCACTTTGCCACCGGAACTACCACCAGAGTTGGAAAAGCTACTCCAACCATTCTGTACTTTTACTCAGGTAAACCCCTAATGTTATATATTATTGTTGTCATACAATTCTTGTTTTTTATTGAGTATGTTGCGACCACATGAATCAATGAAAAAAGATCATGTAATGTTGTCTAACAAAACATAATTTGTATTCTACAGTCTCATAACAAACAGCCTTTAACAATTTAGTGTCAATTATTTGTATTTGTAAAACTTAAATGAACAACAATTTGCAACAAGTTTTTGTGACAATTTTGTCTCAAATTTGAACATTCTGAAATCTGTAATTTATAGAGAATTTAGTGGACTTACGAGTTGAAATTTACGGGTGTTATTTAATGTTTTATTGGTAGTCGTAATGCGAGAATTTAGGGCAGCGTCCTGGTTAGTTAAGAAAAAAATAATAGAAGGATAATCATTATTTTAAAATAATGTAATGAACCTACCTATTTTTCTTTCAGGAGCAAAACATGTCTGGTGAATACGAGATCACGGCGAATGGGTCTTTACGTCGCAAGCTGTTTTTCGAAGAACACAGCGACATAGAACACTATGACTCTGAGCACACCGATGATGAGGTCCATGTGGAACAACGGCCTCCTTCGAGCTACGAGGCTCACACACCTGTAGTGTTCAGTCCAGACCTCGTAAGGATTTTTAATATATTTTGTCGCAATATATTTACTTTAATGTGCAACTTTATTCAAGTTGCTAATGGCACTGCAACAGTCTCGGTGTCATCACTTGGTTTTTGTATAATGATATCCCTGGTTTAATCCATGTTTCGAGTTGAAGTTTTTGTCAATCATAGGTTAAAGTCAGAATCTGTTCCTCTAGTACTACAATACATTTTAGTGAGGTGTCTCGAGGCCCTTACCTCCCCTTTTCCCATTCGCAAATCTCCAATTCTTATTTTATTTAAGTGTGGGAGAGCCATGCTTCGGCACGAAGTCGGTGCGACCGGAGTGATACTACAGCCTCACAGAAAAACGATGTAAAACAATCACAGCGTTGTGTGGGTGAGGTACCATAGGGCCAATCCTTCCCCTCCCCAATCTCAAAATCTCCCAAATCTCTAATCCCCAAAAGGTCGGCAACGCACTCGTAACTCCTCTGTTGTTTCGGGTGTTCATGGGCGGCGCTGATTGCTTACCATCAGGTAATCCTTGTGCTAGTTTGCCGATTTACCACATAAAAAAAACTAAGACTGTTAGCCCTAAAAGTTGACAACATGCTCGTAACTCCTCTGGTGTTGCGAAAGTCTGATTGCTTACCATCAAGTGATCCGCCTAATTGTATGTACTGATTTTGCATCTCTTTTTCCCTTTGAGAAATAAATAGTTTGCAAAACGTCGAACGTCAGCTTGTTCAGAGCTTCTACAACGCCAACTGGGATGACTGCGTGTTTAAACACGTGATATCAGTTGACTGCATGGTTGGCACTGGCACGCTGGCTGGGCTACGTCGCAACGTGTCGCGGGTTCGATTCCCGCACGGTACAACTCTGAGTGATCCACAAATCGTGGTTCCGGGTCTGAGTGTGACATGTATGTGAAATTGTGTGTTTGTAAACGCACCCACGACACAAGAAAAAATCCTCATAGTGTGGGGAAACGTTTTTTTTTAATATATGATATGCATTTTCCATCCACAGAGCCGAGACTTTGTATCAAAGGGTATGAAGCGTACCTTTGGTACGCCATTGAAGAAAGGATCATCAAGCAACAGTAAGCCCTGCTATAGGAACAAGATACTAGATGTTGTGGACTTTGGGGAGCCCTGCTTTAGTCCAATAGAGTTTAGGACCCCACGGCGCACTGGGTCTGTGCAATGTCAGGGGTCGGCTACGTCGTCCTCCTTAGCCTCGATCTCGCCAGTCTTGAAAGTGTCTCCAAGCGATGAAGAGGTATTTACATTTATTTATGAACAAACATGTAATAGCTATTGCCAGACTTATTATAATATGTTCAGATGTCAATTTCCTTATTATTTTTGTGTCTTAATAATCTTACAATAACAAAATCCTAAATTTGAAACTTGGTAAGATTCAAAAATTAAATTGGTACTTTGTTTTATTTGCGACTCCTGACCTGACGGTTTCGGGCCGTCACGACACTTATTAAACTAATACTTATCTATATATATAAAAATATCACTTGTCTTATTATGACAAATAAAATGTTATATTATTGTTATTAGAAAAACGACTTCACATCACCTGAAACCGAGACAATGGCTACATGTTTGGATTGCCTCCAAGCAGAACCGAAGAGCGAGAAGAAGGGGCCTTGCTTCTGTAAGCTGACACCAAACAAAATTAAGCGAAGTACTTCCCTGAAGGAGTCTCCTCACAAACACAGGAAGAGCTCTTTCTCATTTTCCGAGAAACGCAGTCTCAGCATGTCGAGCTTGCATCGAAGTCGCTCGGTTCAGAAACTGGACTTCAGTATGGACATGAGTGTTGATGGCTCCTTCCACAACCGTTCACAAGGTATGACCCATAACTTATACATAACTAACTTTAACTTGTACTGTTTATAGCAAAACTAAATCAAGTCCCTCAATTAATTTCAGCTGAATCAGAGACTAGTTCGCCGAAATCTGCAGAAGCAGCCTGGTCCCTCGTAGAAGAGTCAAGCATCCATCATTTAGTGAAAGTCGAAACAGCGAAGAGTTTATCCAACGAGATACAATCATCTACTAAGATTCACACTGTCGACGTCAATATAGATGACACGCCTATCAAAAGCAAATCCAGAAGCAATATACGCGCTCATGAAATTAGTAAAATTCGCGCCCCGATGCCTTTAAGCCCGTTACATATGTCTCTAGATAATAGTTTAGATAATTTGGATAATCCGCTCAGCTTGGAAGACAAAAAGATAGACTTTAACAAAGTTGATCTCAAATTATTGACTGAAAATATATCGCAATTTGATTATACAGGAAACAACATGACCAAAGTGGGTGGTGATAGCTCAACTAGTTTTAAGAGAATAGATAGTGGATTTAATGAGAATACATTCTATGCAAACGCTTCTAGTTACTATGAAAGTGCCATAAAACCGTCAGAACTGACCGTGACTAACACATCAAAGACTTGTAGCAATAAGAACGCTTTGAAAGAGATCTCTAATATTAATTGGATGCGAGTTGATAGTGGGTTTAAAGATGAAACATCTTCAGATGCAACACAGTTTTATCCTTTACACTGTGATAATTCTGTGAAAAAAATGTTCAATTTTTCTGAAGCTAAGTTAGAAGATAAGGAGAACTTGGTTACTGAAGACTTTGACAAGTTCTTGGGTCAAGCAAGTAACAAAAACGACGCAATGTCCATGTCTGACATCTTCAACGACGAAATGACGTTCAACTGCAACTTTTCATCAACTCCATCTAAAAATAAGTCACGGAAAGTTTTTTCGTAAATTAGTTTAATTTTGAGCTTGTTTTTGTAATACAAAATGAACTTTATACGCATTTATATAGCTATATATTTAATTCTAGACTGTTTTTGACTTTGTGGATGATCTCCATTATTGTGGATGATTTTTAAGAATTGTGTATGATGAATTGATTTTGTAAGAGATGTGACTAAGGGGTACTGTTTTGCATGAATTAAGTAATTATTATTTTTGTGACTTTTGAGATAATGTGTGTTTACTTGGGTCAAGTAAAATTTAATAAAGTTTCAAGACTGAAATGATAAAAATTAATACGTGTATTTTCCTTGGCTTGATTGATTTGTATGTAACTGTAGAATAACGAGGAATTGCGCGTTGCAACGTCAACTGTCCATCACGAGTCTCGACTATTTGTCTTATGACCTCTTTAATTAATAGGCAACCGTATCTAGTAAGATATTATTAGAACCGTTTTAAATTTAGCTCCGTCCCATCCTTCATAGTACAGTGTGCAATTAACCATATACTTATACTAATCTGTATGTTTACTCAAAGTTAATTTCGTTAATTAGAGGTCACTATCAATACGACCGCTCCAAAGTCCGTGCTTATTTGTTGACACTTATTTTTAATTCATTTATCTCATATTTCTTGTATCTTGGGATGTCTTTTTTCATTAATTAACTTGTCGTGTTTTCTAATAACAGTACTTGTTGTAGTCGGATTAGTGAAAATTCAATTGGCTATTAATTTATTCACCAAATAATAGTAAAGTAGTAGAAGCATTTACTATGTTACTCAATTAAATATTGTAGTCATAGATAAAGCGATGTGTTAATGCACTTAATAATCCTTATTTACAAATCAGTAATTTAACGGTCATCTAATTGTGCAGTTATAATTGATAGTGGTGCATGTGGTAGCTATTATATTACACGTATATACAATCGTCGAGACTGTTCGTGCGTCAATCGTTTTTAACAAATAACCGAATGATAACGTTGTAACCTCTGTTATCGCCGTATCCCGGAACGTCTGCGAACTACAAGCGCTCGGGATACGTTAGGTAACAACGGCGGATACAGAGCGGTGCATTTACTACTCTCTATATAAACCACCGTCCAGCTTCACACATGTCATTTCACATCACACTTTGATGGTGACAATTAGCTACATTGGATTGTATTGTAAACTACTGGCCACACAGATCATATTTCACGCTCGGACATTGTTGATAACGTACGCAGTGACGTATACACGTGCGCTGCTTATATGAAGCTTTTTTCGATATAATATATATTTTTTTTGTGAATATAATTAGTGATAGTTCGTCAAAATGTATAACAAGACTAGTGCGACGCTGATGTTGCAGACTATAATGGTGTTGATGGATAAACAAAATTCAACCGATGTCACCAACTTCCCAAGCACGTTTAATGGTTTGTTGATTTGTTTACTAATACTTTTTAATCTTTAAATTTACAAAAAAACAACCCACAACTTACATTTCGTACAAAAAGAAGTTTCAGGTCATTGACTTTATAATTTTGCAATGTCTTCATTTTTTACACTTTCACACCTGCAAGTAGGTAATGGTGCCTAATATTAAACTAATATTCTACGACTGCATGTTTCAATTAAATTTACATATAAAAATAGTGATATTGATGTTCGAAAATAATATTATTATCATAATATCCGGTGCAAAAGGGCATGTGCGCGCAAATTTGAGACTATTGAATTACGCTGATAAAGTTCCAATAACTTTAGGTGTTTGTTACTGATCGCTTGTTTTTGTATGTCTGATTCACATTTTGCATAATATAATATCACATACATTTTACCCAAGGGAGGTAGGAACACCATGTCTTGTACTTATACCTACCCACTTTTCAGTTCCTACCTATTAGCTCCCGACCAGAATCAGACCGTAGCGTACGGCGCGTAGCATTCCGCGCTTTCTTTCTTTATTTTCTTACCTTTACACAGAATAACTGTGAAGATTGCACGTGCTATATCAAAATAAAATACCGTAAAGTACCATTATAAGTAACAGGGGAAGGAAGCTTGTACCTAAGAAGAAGAAAATCTTGATCAATAGTTCAAAAGTCTACTGATCTGACCGGCAGTATATTTTTAAGGGGAGAGAGTCAACAAAGGACTTTTTCCGGTCATTATCAGGTTCTTACTGTCTAAAAATCAACCCACTTATTCTACTCCGGCCTGGAGTCGCGGAACATATTCGCGCGCATAACTGAGGCGTGGACACGGCGGTGTCGGCTGTGTGCGGCTTAACACAAGCAGTGCACACCGTCAACGTGTCTCCCGGGTAGTCCGAAAATAAAAATCTCGTGCACGACACGCGAATGGTAGCAGTTGATGCAACCTAATTAACCTTCGGTAATAAAATAATCGAACCATCATCATCATCATCATCATCGGGCCAAAAAAATATCGATACTGCCGAATACATAAACCTTACCTCACAAGAATAATGTTATACCAATCGCAATGGTTAATTTGTAACTTGGAAATAGCCCGTATAGCACTTAGGTCACCGAAAATTTTGGAAGTTTGTGCTATCCGTGTCCATTCTGCATTGCTTGAACTCACTACGTACCTATTAGGGATATATACCTATAGACAAAATAATGCGAAATACATACGAGTAGATCGCCTGATGGTAAATGATCAGCGCCGCTTATGGTCACCCACGACACAGGAGGAGTCACAAGTTTGTTCGTTGGCGGCCTTTTAAGAAGTACCTAAGCTATTTTATTGAAGGTGATAAAGATTGTAGAATACTAATTCATCTTGTTTTTATTTAAGATGACGCGGAGTTGGAACGTTGTTACGGAACTTATGGGTGCTTTTCAAAGGCGTATCCTTGGACGGAACATCGGCCTGATAACTTTTTCCCTGTACCACCAGAAGCTATGGCTGTGAGGTGAGTATCTTTATAATCCAAACTCGTTATTTGATCTCATCAATGGCCAATCATTATTATTAACTTACAAGTCACACATCACAGAATTAGGTTTTATGTATTTATTAGCAAGTTTTGTATTGTAATAACGTATATAAATAAGTTATTTTTTAAGTAAATATGTATTTATGGGCCGTTGTCGTCTGAATGTAAAACACCTCAAATTGTTGTTCCGGGTCTACTGAATATAATTAATTGGGTATTTGATAATAATATATAGTATGTTTGTAACCGCACCCACGGCCCACGACATAGGAGAAAATCCTAATGTGGGGCAACATTAAAAAAATGTAAAAGATTTAATTAAATTTGCTGATCAAAGTGGTGATTAAAGCTTATTCCGTCTGATAGGGAGAAGGATTGAGCAATAATCACCATACTTGCTTAGCTGCTGCAGGCGGACTGCGGTTTTTAATCTGACTATACCTATACTTATTAATCTGACTATATATATACTTAGAAATTTCAAATCCTGGTTACTTCACGATATTTTCGTTTACCGTATGTCAGTGGTGTTAAAATGTAGATAATTAAGATAATACCTACATGGACTTTGAGGGTGTTTGGGGACTGGGTTTCACCAAGTTGTGCAGCCTCTTTTGCATTAAAGGCATTGTCATTCTGTCTCCTGTATTAAATTTGCCGAGGAACAACGGTAGAAACTATACTTACCTAATTTTTCTTCTTTCAATTTACCCGGTTTATTTTGTTGCGGGATCCGAGATTAGATATTCGTGTTCCTGGAACGCTCTGGACCTAAGGCTGTTTAGGTATTTTCATGGTTGTATCTAGTAAGTATAGATCCTGGGCAATCCTGGCTTGCCGGAGTTGCATCGGTTACGGGAGGTTGTGGCGGGCTTGTCTCATTAAAAATAGAACTCTTAACAAATCACACGAAGAAGCGGGTGTTTTAACACTATGATGGTTTTAATAGCTACAGATTTCCATTTAAGGAACTTAAGACTTTACTCCCTTTGTCATCTTCCAAGATTATCCTTATGAGAGCGTATCGATATCATGACTTTAATTATTTATGAGAGCTTATCACTGTCATAAATTTAATTTACCTCTACAAATCAAAACATGTAACACCCACTTTCCACCCGCTACCTAAATCGCAAATTGTATTATATTCACGGAGTCCATAATATTTTGGTACTGAATATTTAGTGTTTTTCTGACCGGGGATACCCGAGCGTTGTCTGCGTTGTTCTTCAAGCGTAGGTATTTCTGATCACTTGACCCGCGACGCATTTAATGGCCCTACAATTTCCCTGGAATTCAACCTGAGCACTGTGTAGCACTTGTTACCACTTAACTAATGAGACAATCGAGCAGTGTGAATGTTCAAACAATTTTGTAATCAAGAAAGTTTATAAAGTCAACCATTTCTAGAAAGTTCCAGAATATACACAGATAAGCTAATATTTTTTGTAAATATAAACAAGACATATAAGAAAATATATGATCTTAAATTAGGTATTCATAACATTTTAGTGACAAAGTGAATGAGCTAATGGAGATTTTGTTTGTTATTTTATAAATCAATATTTACATAGGTAGAAACAAAATAATTAATAAATAATCCAAACTAATATTATGAACGCGAAATTCGGGTCTGGTTCTGGTCGGGCGGCGAGCTATCCTTACTCGCCGTCTGCAGCCCCGCGCTTACGATGGCCGGAGATCATGTCTCGGTACAGACATGCTTTGGAACTCGAGAAAGAACATAGGATAGTTTCTAAACTAAAAATCTGCAGGTGGTCACTATTCCACGCGAACAAAGTCGCGGGCAAAAGCTAGTAACAAATAAATATGGGAATAAATATACAAAAATAATTATAAAGAAATGGTTATTATTCCGGTTCCGGTTTCCGGTAAGTAAAACGTTTTATTTTTTTCTTGATCTTTTGGACAGTATACATATAAAGTAAGTCAGTTAGAGCGCTAACTGAGAAAACTTTTTGAGAAAGTTCTGTTAAGTATTAGGTACCAAAAATGTATATAAAAATTGCTTAAAAACTTGTGGTAAAAATCTTACTCATATTAATTTCGTAATTATATTATAAATTCGGAAGTTTGTAAGTATGAATGGATTTTTGTTTCTCTATCACTTAAAATCAACTCAACGAACCAATTGCGCAGAATCACATTGTAGTCTGGAAAACATACATAGGCTACTTTTTACCCTGATTTTGCAGCCGAAGCCGCTTGCAGAAAATAGTTTATAATAACAAATAAACGGTACATTAAAACTAATTAACACTAAGGTCAGAATGTAGGCGTGGTTAATAGAGTTTTATAACAAATTATGTCACTTAATCCAAGTTACATTGTTTACATTATCACAGATGCGCGAATTGATAAGGACTAAGTAAATCCAAAGACCTAATTAGCTGTACATAAAGTTGTACAAGATCCGCTTCGTATTTACAATCTGTATGTAGAAGTCTCGGGGCGATAACGACGGGGGCTCGTCCGTGACATCAATCAATCACGAACGGAGACAAAACAAATATTTACGTCCCATAATTGCATAGTGACGTACTTATCAACTATTTTAAACAATGTGTTTTTATTTTCGTTGCATCGCATCCACTCTGTGCATAGTTTATTCGAGGTCTATTGACCTTTGAACATCGGACACGTCCCTTTAATTTATTACAATTGATAATGATGGTTCAGTTCTCACATTAATTTGTGATATGGTTAAATAAATGCGTATGTTATTTATGTTACAGATATCCAGCATTCACTAGAAGAAATCGAAAGATACCAGTTCTTTTTGAGGCCGATAATAAAGAAAAAATTGCTAATGCCAATCTTGATCCGCGGGGACCGTTTTATTTTATTTCTCATGGATTCTTAGAAGGAGGACATAAACCATGGGTAAAACCTTATATATTAATTATTTAAAAAATATTGTAGTGTTGAAATATGAGGGACAAGCTGCCTTCAGGCTTCGAATTCTTAAGAGGTCTTTAGAAGTAAGTTGTTTATCAATAAGTCTGTAAGATGCCATTAACAACAAAAGCAGGGTTCAAATGTTATCCTAAATAATTTTATATACAGTTTTGTTTACACAATACTTCGTATTTTCCATACAAATCGATGATATCACAGTATTTTTGGCAGACAAGTACTGAGAAATATTAATGAAAATTATTATGCGTAGATTCAAAATATGGCGGACGCTCTTCTAAATTTGGAAGGCAATGAAGGAGCAACAGTTATCGTGGTGGACTGGCGAGGTGGCTCTCAACCTCCTTACGGACAAGCTGTCGCCAATATTCGACTCATTGGCGTTATGACTGCACACTTGATACATAACATTTATGTAAGTATAGAAATAATTATAAAGTAGGTACTACACAAGTTTATTTTAAACTAGCTTTCGCCCGTGTGGTATGTTGATAAAAAGTAGCCTATGTCCTATTCCGGAGTCTATTCTATGCCTGTGCCAAATATTATTCAAATCCGTCCGCCGTTTCGGCGTGATTGAGTAACACACATCCAAACATCGTAACTTTCGCAATTATAATATGAGTAAGATAACGACTTATTTATTTATTTATTGGTATACCAACAGCACGCATATTATAAACTATATACTAGTCATACTTACTCTATTAATAGAGAAAAGGTCTACTAGCGGTAGCGTCGCGGCGACGCACACGCTGATTACGCACTCAGGAACGTTGTAGCTAAGTCTAGCAACGTCAGCTATCAGTGAAAAAAATTTGAATATCAGACTGGCGAATCCAAAAATTACCCCCCGCCCCTGTTATTTTACCTCTTTATCATATTAGTATAGATGTAATAATTCTAAAGTTGTATATATTTTTGTATATTAACTTTTCTATTTATTTACAGGAAGTGCTAGGATTGCAACACATAGATAACTTCCACTTCATTGGACACTCTTTGGGTGCTCATTTAGGGGGATATTGTGGACATGCTTTGCAGAAGGTAAGCCTTTTATTTATCATTGCCATCATACAATTACTAACATAAATTTGGTCAATGGAATATGCAAAAACTAGGAAGGCTTCTATTTATTTGACCACATTTTATGTGGTTTGTAGCTAGTAAGAGGCGATGATTAATCCCCCTCCACAAAAAATGTTTTAACAATACTTTCACGCGCTGTTACATTTGACACGTAGCAAAACCTAGGAAGTATGTGTTGGTGATTTAGGGATTGGAGGAGGGGAAGGATTGGACACAACGCTGTGGTTGTTTTACGACGGTTTTCTGTTATAGGCCGACCGAAAATACATTTTAGCATACACATCTTTTTACCTATTTTAAAACTTATTATATTCTCCTCTACAGAGGTTCTACTTGAAGCTTGGACGTATCACTGGATTAGATCCCGCATCTCCTTACTTCGCTAGGACGGTAACGCTGGTACGCCTCGACAGGTCCGACGCTAAATACGTGGATATCATCCACAGCAATGCGTTGCCGCTGTACTTCTCAGGTAATTTTGCACTTTATGTAGTTGGAGTAAAACACATTTGTACTGTTCATTTATTTTAGAAGTTTCTTTTATCTTCTGTCCGTCAGAAATCTTTAGTTCCTGTAACAAAGAAAAAGCTTATTTGTAATTTGTAAGAATAAATGTTGCTCCTATGATAGTTGTAGGCTTGGATTTTTAAAGTAGCCTATCACTTGGATGTATAGTTTTAATCTTGTCTGTATCAAGAATTGAACGACCATACGATTGCCCTAGTGGCCCCGGGTGGTTTAAAACCGCGGGCTCGACTTCCGCAAGGAAAAATGTTTTTGATATCAAAAAATTGTTGATTCCAATGTGGGTGCAATGTGCTTGTAACAAACGGCACAGGCTTAAGTCCTAGTGTGGGGCAAGGTTATTATGTCTATAAGGGCTTTTTTTTTTTTTTGTCAGGGGAAAGTCGCGGTGCCTCATTGCGCTTACCCCGCAGCATGTCTATAAGGGTTGATTTTTCAATGATAACTTAAAAGGTATCTGGTTGATAATTATGATGCTGTCGCGTCAGAATGTTTGTATAAGAAAGTGACAGCAGCAATTTTATTGTTTAGTGTTAACTAAGGAATAAAATTGTTGCTGTCACTAGTTTTATTTGACTATTGAAAAATCAGCCCTAAAGCAATTTTGTTTTATTGTTCAATGGCGTCATTTTATAAAGACATATTATATTACAGGTTTCGGTATGTCGGAGCCAATTGGCCATGTGGACTTTTATCCCAACGGTGGTATAACGCAACCAGGTTGCAAGCAATCTAGCTCGTCTTCCGGTGGATCTGGAGACTTGTCGTACCAACAAATTGCCAAATTCGTCGGCTGTGATCACGAGAGGAGTTACGAGTACTTTATCGAGAGCGTCGCGCCTACTTGTCCATTTATGGCAGTACAATGCGAGTCTTATGATGTAAGTAAATTTTGCTTATATTTAAAACTACCTTAGATACCTGATTTACCTGAAGTTTGCTCTGCGTAGTATAAACCAAAAATAATAATAATAATATATGAATAATACACCAAAACCTTCCTTAGAACAATTGTTTGAAAAAATACATTAGTAGGGTAATTTTTGAGTTTGTTGGGTTCATACAAAAATACCACGAACTTCTTTTCATGATATGTAGGTAAGAATCCTATAACCTAAGAAAGCAAGGCATAACGTTAAGTAGCCTGACTACCAAATGTTGTACAAACGTCGTGGGTGAGATTTTTGCTGAATTGCGTGAATATTTTCGTTTGTCTTGACTGTCTTCACGACACATGACAGATAATTCAAGGTTTTTTGAAGAAGACGGGGAAGATGTATACTAGACAATCATAATTAACAAACCACTAGTTTGTCTCCGGAAAAAATACATGTATACTGTATAGTCTTCTTGTTCTTGTACTTATAGGTTCAGAGATGATGTATATTTCCATAGCACTCATGTTTACAAAAACATTCCTCAAATTTGCGTCATAGGAAAAACCCTGGTGTGTCCAGTTTATAAGTTAATTATGTCTTATTGCTAGTTATCGTTACCCACCTACCTACCTTTCAATATGCACTGCGCAATAATAAACATTGCTGTAATAAATCTATGATGTCATAGAAACATTAGCCCTACTCCTATTAAGCTCAATGAAGAATAGGTTGACTTATCTATTATAGTATTAAATATCGTCCAATTAACAAAAGGTCAGTTGCAATCAATAAAAAATAAATACTTCTTATTGTTATCTCAGTAAAAATAAATAATGTTTTGTCATTTGTGTTTGACGTCATGATTATTATATTATAAATATGTCGTATTTTATTTTTGGGTAACCCGGATGTAGAGGTGTTTGAATAATTAATTGCGCATTGTATTATAATTGTAGTAAAAGTGGAAATCATATTATATTTGGAGATGGGAAATATTCATGATTCTCATTTTAAATTACTTTTGAACTTGAGTAAATTGATCTATAATTTTTTCACGACAAATATGAACCTTCGGGGAAGAATAGCTATCTCTTATTTATCTATTATTCTGTCACTAATTTGATATTTAAGTATCATTTAAATTTTGACTGTTTTCATTTGTAAATAAATAAATTTAAAGCATACATAGTGATTAAGCTGTAATATTTTACAAAATAGTAAAATATTACAGTGATTAAGCTGTAATATATTTTGTAAAATATTACAGCTTAATCACTATGTATGCTTTAAATTTATTTATTTATTTTTTATTTTATTTTAACACTTTATGTACATACAAAATAATATATGTATACAAAGGCGGACTTAATGCCCGAAGGCATTCTCTACCAGTCAACCTCAAGTTCACTCTTATCTAAAACTACACAGCGAATTTTGATGTATTAAATAGTGGAAAAAAATAGTATCAGTACCTATTACACCTTTGTGAAGTCGGGGCGGGGCTCTAGTATTCTATATTTTTATTCATATTTAAAATAAATGTATTCTGGTTTCCAGTCATTCCTAGCTGGCAACTGTACCAGCTGTGACAACCATCACTACTGCATACCAATGGGGTACCACTCGTATGGCATCTACAAGCGGCTGCAGGCGGGCGGCCTTGTTGACACCAACTCTAACATTGCACTGTATGCTCTCACAGGCAATAGTAAACCTTTTTGCAGTAAGTAATTTAATTTTTCCTTTGACTTGTATATGTATGTAGGTATATTTAATGGGAGAAGAGAGTCTTGCGGACATACGGATACTTGAGTAGTATACATCATATATTCAAGTGTTTTTAAAATACTACTTCGTAATCGAAAATCCCAAGGCGGGCAAACTGTTTTTGTAATATTATTCAATTCGAATTATTTAATTGCATTCTGTATTTACATACTATAATTATTTCTGTATTTTGAATGGCTGTAAAGGGTGTAGGTGCACCCTTTATACATAAGTACGAAATCCATAAAAAGAAATACCATGTTAATTTAAAAAAATGCGTTACAAAAACGAACTACAATTTGGCTTTTATGGATTACGGGCAAACAAATACGCGTATGACCTGATGGTAAGCAACCAGTAGGTGCCTCCTATGGGCATACGCACTACCGGATTAGTCACGAGTGTGGAAGCGCCATGCTGCGGCACGAATGGGTTGACTTGACCGGAGTTATACCACGGCCGTACAAACACCCTCAAGGCTGTGGTTCGCCGTGTGAGTACAGCTACCAGAGGTGCTTTCCGTCTTCCAATCCCTAAATATTCGAAACTCCCCGAAAGGTCAATTCCGCCGGTGTTGCGGGTGTCAAAGGTCGGCGCTAATTGCTAACAAGTCTGCTCGTTTTCCGTCATATCACATACAAAAAATAAAGTGTTTCAAATTACTTCAGTTGTATTAAAATTGATTTATGTTTATATAACAGGAGTTCATTACGAGGTGATACTCAAGGTCGCTAATACTACAGCTAGCATCACCCACGGACCTGAATCCGGGAAGCTATCCATCACATTAGTCGACAGAAATAACAACAAGAGTGACCATATGTTTTTGGAAGATGAACAGTAAGTTTAACTTCATTCAATTTTGAACTCAAGGGACTGCTAACAGATGTTCAAAACATTTTGTTTATTCTTGTAGAAATTATATTGTTTCGAATTATAATTGATAGAGATTGTCAACTTTTCGACTCTTCAACTAAAACTTTTAGGCAACTCGGGACCCCAATATACAGGCCCCACCTAGCAAGTGGCCTCCAAAATTTAATCTACTACATTTAGTTACACCAAATAATTGTACCTAATACGAACTTCGTTTATGTAATACATTTTATTATTATTATATAGCTTGCTCTGTCAAACTATAGCTCTAGCTATTAGCTAAAGAAATGTGCTATCACGTAAATGTTACTTAGTAAATATTAAGATCACACCAACACACTTTATGACCATGGACTTCAACGGTATTGCATCTTAGGCGGATTATAGATTATCACTAGGAAGACTAAAAACAATTTCAGTAAATTTCCAGATAACATAATTATGTGCGTAAGCGATAGGGAGTCCATTATATAATTCCCTATCTCCAGTTTCGGGTCACTTGATTTGAAAAGATAATGTCGATTAGCATAAGGATGTTTATAATATTATGAAATAATGTACGCGTCTGTAAAACTATAAAAAGATTTTTATCAAACAATAGTTATTATAAAAAACAAACTTGATTATGTGGTAGTAGGTCAATTTTTTATAAGGAGGTAATATGCGTCATATTTTTCTTATTCAACATAAGATATTTTAGGTATTTTTCGTATTCTTGATCATATAATAAAACGATACTGAATTCTACATTTACTTTATAATTTTACTAGATACCAGGTACTAAGTGTTAGAGTCGTGGTCTACACAAACCAAGTTGAACAACGCATGCATAATCACGTGAAGGTTTACGTATTAAAAGAAGACATTTAAATATGGACCTCGTTAATATAAGGGACTAGTTTTAAACGAGAAAATTCTATTCTATGATTATTTTATATTTTGCTCATGTATATTTTTGTTCATAACAGAAAATTCTACAAACCCGGTGTGATCGAGAAAAAAATGGTGGCTGTGAAAGATACGGGGCATCCTCCCGTGTTTGTGATCGTTGAGTGGAAATATGAAACCAACTTATTCAATCCCATGACTTGGAGGTTGTTGAAGAGTCCTAGCATTTATGTGGAGTATATGAAGCTGTCATCGATTGAATATAACACTGAGTAAGTGAGACTTGGTTACGTTATCCGCACCATATAAGTGCCTACGCTAGTGTGGTTTTGCTTGTTGGGGGATTAGTAAGGTTCAATTTACTACACAATGTAGGAAATAGTCCTATAATCTTTTCCTTTTGGACTCATTGCTACTACCTACCTACCGATTCGTGAATAGATATTTATTTAATGTATCGAATCTTGAAATGGGCTGGTTCCTCTAGCATTAAAAAAATGTGTGAACTCAACTCAAAGTTGTTATATTTGTTAGTTAATTGTTTTTTTTTTGCAGGATTACAGTGTGCCCCAAACGGAATAAGCCAGTCGTTGCCAACCTGCCTACGATAATGAAGCCGAAATATTGTAAATTCAGTAAATAGTTTTCTGTGAACACTTATGTTCCATCCCCGGAATTCATAATTTGGACAATGCACTTAAGACAATGCAAAATGTCTACAAAAAGTATTCTAATAGTATTTTAATATTTACATTTATTTTAGTATGTAAAGTTCTAAAAAAATATACGCTAAGCTACTTATATTATACTAGTAATAGATATTGTAAATAAGTGAATTACTTTTGTAAAATTAAATTAATGTAAATAAACGATAACCGCAATTCAATAATTTTTCCTTCTTTATAAAATCAAATATGTACTAATATTATCTAGTGAATACTAGTCAGACTACTGATTGGTCAAAGGTACTATCTTGATAAAGTAAATTATAGGTTTAGTTCCTACAACCTCTCTTTTTATAATGGTAAGCCATTTTTAGATGAGCTATTTTATACAAATCTCTTATCGAATTTGGTAAAACTTTATTAAACCTAAATTATTAGTAACACCCGCCATATTTACAACAAACATACAGACACAGCGAATATAAAATTTACATGATTAATAAATTATAACTATTTATTTTCTCTCACCATACTTCCTTACATATCTTTTTGTATTTCAGTTGTTATTTTTTTATTTATCGACTAAATTAATCTTATTAGTCGATTTCGTAATGGAAGGAGCGTCTCTAATTCTGACACTTTGTTGACATTACAATGACATGACATGACATTATGTTACGGATGTTGATGTTGTGTTATTGAATTCATAATCATATAATTCGACTCAATACGTAACACATAATATTTCGTTATATCATCACAGTCGGCCATCATAACCATATTGTAACTGCAGAGAGTGCTTTCAGTATTCATTATGGGTGATGCGCGGAAGAAGAAAAAGTTTTACTTACGTAAACGTAGAAACAAATACTTCTTGGAACCCGGCTTCAAAGGTTTCTTTTGCACGTGTAACTTCAGAGAAAAAGACTGCGTGAAAGAAGTGTATAATCTGTTGAATGAATATGCTGGCAAATTGTATCCTGATCTCGGCTTGGAGCATCAATCGGCTGTTCCTGAATCTGCTGTGCCTGAGGACAAAACAGACAGTGAGTCCGAGGAAGAGACTGATATAGGTGATGTGCTGAGGCGAGAAGTGGACTTACTGAAGAAAGAGTCTCAAAAATCTCTGAAGCACAAAAGGTTCCAGGTAGTGGAGACTGGTGCATCTAACTGCATTTTTGTGAAAACAAATTTACCAAGTCCGGAAGAGCTGACCTCAGCGATAATAAAAGATTTGGTCACAACCAGACTCTCAAAAACGCGTCATGTGTTACGTTTGCTACCAATAATGGCAACCTGTAAGGCCAACTTGCCAGATATTATGGAGTGTGCTGGCAAGCTGTTTGATAAATACTTCTTGAAACAATCATCCTCATTTGCCATCGTCTTCAACAAACGTTTCAACAGCAGTGTTTGTCGAGATTTGATCATCAAGGAATTGGCAGAGATGGTTGTCTTGAAAAACGCCAACAACAAAGCAGATTTGAAAAATCCTAGACTTTGTATAATAGTGGAAATTATAAAGGGTATTTGCTTGCTAAGCATTGTTGATAATTATTTTACCTATAAAAAATATAACTTGAATGAGCTGTCTAAAGAAGAAGCCTCAAATGATTCTGAGGGTAGTCAAGCTAAAAAGTTTAAAGGTAATGGGACCTCATCAAATGAAGAAAACAAGGATAATGAAGTTGTTAACTTAGAAGTCACTTAGATAGTTTTAATACTATTGTAAAATTTGTAACTCAGGTTATCAATAAGCTGACCATTAATGTTAAGTCTTTATCTTATATTTCTACTCTAATTGATGTATTTGTAGTCCTACTTCTAGGCTCTACCTAGAACATCGATACCAACTCTTATACCAAAATTTGTCATATACCTAAATTTTTTCATAAATTATTATAAACCCATATTAAATATACATGTGAAGTAATGTTTAGTTTCAATATTAACCACCTATTTCTTTGTAAGAAGTGATTTTATTCATGGTTACGTAAAATAAATGACTCGAGGTCGTAGTTATGTAACTGGGCGATATAACGAGCTGTTAAGTAATTTTATGATATCTACATAGTACCTACTGTCGTTACATAATCAACAAGCGACAGGCTGACGAGGCTAGCCGGCCGGGAAGGAACGGCATGTGCGCGCGACCGCAACACGTGTTTGAAAAACTGACGAACGTAACGGGACTCGAAACTTTATCTAATATTTTGTAAAGAACATCCTTCTTGTAATCTACCTACTTCTGATTTTTTTAATAAGTAAATATTGACATAGTAATAATAAATTGTTCATGGCAAAGTAGGCGGTATTTCGTACAAAGTTTAGATAAGTCTCAAACCATTTCCGCCGCATCTGTTATCCAGTGCTTTAGGTAATTTTAAGCTTCGACAACAGATGTCTCTTATCGCATCATTTTAAATATACCTAGTTTAATATTAGTGATTCGGTTTAATTACAATATTTATTTTATATTCATTCACGTCCTAAAGGTTAAATATCGTTTAACGCTTTTAATATATTGTTTTTTGACTTTCTTTCCCTTATACTTATTACACTCTTTGAGTCTTTGACTTACTAGATGTCGCTAGGAGTGATCAATTTTAGATCGTTTCGCCCTTAGATGGCGTCGCTCGTATCGTTCAAATATTTTGTTCTCTATATTTTTTTTTATTAACTTCTTCATTAACGTATGTATTCCACACAGTCATGTATTCTTCAACACAATACAATAGGATGATCTACCTGAAGGGTGCAAAAAGTACCTACTTACCTACCCACTAATAATGCACCTCGGCGCCTGCCCAGACCAGGAGAAGGAACAGGGTGGTTTCTAGTCAGTAAAAGTTTGCCGCTGCCTCTCCTTCTCGCTTCACCTACAAAAAAAAAAAAACAAAAAGCAGGTAGATAACTATAGGGAAAAGTCATACCACTACCAAAATGGCAGTAGTAGGTAGGTAGTTGTACTAGGTACTTATAATATTAGGTACTTAATTAGCAACAATACTTATAGTTACGTCTGATGGGAATCAGTACTTAATGCATTGGAGATTCGCAGCCCCGGTCTACAACAGTAGGAGAAAAAAAAGAAAAAGTCTGACCCACACCCACGACAAAAATTTGGTGGCGAACTATGTAAGTATCATCGCTTCCATGGAGTAGGGTCATCAGAAAATAAAGGCGTAATCAAACAGTTGCAAAGCAGTCAAGCTTTACCGGCATTTGCAGGTTAAAGTTCATAAAAACTACATTTTTATGTTTTCTTTTGTCTTTGTCCATATGTGTGTTATGTTTATTAATTAGACGACGAAATTCGTTAACGCGTACTTACCTACATACCACATAGTACTTAATGTAAGTATAACCTATTAACAAGATAAATACAGATAGCTAATTAATAGCAAAATGGATTACCTTTCCAGCTAAGAACGAAAAGAGATTTAAGTATGGAGCGCGCTATCTATTCTCCCGTGTGAGCGGTAAGAGCGCTAATGTAATGGGCTATTTTGCACTATTAGGTACCTGACTATCTACGCCCCAATACGTTATTTGCGTTACGTGACTTATGGGCAATGGATGTTCCTTGCACTTTATAATGGAATCGAAGTTTCTACTTCCACACGGGAAATACATTCTTTGGAAACTTTTTCTTTGATAAGTGCTCATGGTTGTGTTGCAAGTAAAATAAATACAATGGACAACGGTTTTCTTATTTTATTAGGTACTTAAGAACCTGTTTAAGTATTCATTTTTGCAATGCCATAGGTAGGTTGATATTACTATATGGATACTTTAATTTACAAATTGTCAGAGTACCTACCATTTGGAAGAAAGGATTAGTGAAATGGTAAAAATCAAATAACACAATTATCTATATACTGGTCATACAGGTAAATGATGTTAAAAGCTACAACTAACTTACACATCCACAGAATTTCTTAGCATTCATTTATTCAAACTTCGAATAGTCAGTTATAATAGTCACCCTACTATCATTACTAAGTCACTTAAAATTAAGAAAGAGTTATGTCTTGGTTACTAACTTTTCTCAACTTTAAGTTGTTCTTCGAAGCAGAATAGATAGTTAGTACCTAATTAGGTACGTAGCTATTTCTGTCACTTCGAATTTTAGTCAAAGATAAAACGTAGTAGACAGTTGTACTACCTAAATAAAATTAGGTTGGCACGATAATGTGAAACCGGTAATTTGTTTCTTTTTTCTAGACCGAGGCCGCCTCCGACGAATTTGCTAGGACCGCCCTTCAATTTGGGAGTGGATGTTTTTTAATTTGTAAAAATGCAATGACAGACTCACACCGACTCAGTAATTGTTTGTTAGAGTAGCCAATTAAAAGTTTCCAAGGGCCGCCGCAATTGGAATTGAGCCAAATACTTCTGTAATAAATTGCTGTCCGTGATAAGAATACTCTAACAATATAATTTGTTCTTTCATAGTGTGCGGGCATGAAAAAGTTTGGGTTGTGGAAGGTAATGAATTCCTGATGTAGAACCGCAGTAAAAAGACCGTCCGTAATGGATTGATACCTTCCTAACTTTATTTTTACTCAGTGGGAATACCGCGTTTATCTTAAGAATGAATTGCATTAATAAAAATGTTAGCCAAAGACCCAAATGTCTTGTGTTATGAAGGGTAATCAATTTCAACTACAGACATTTTATTGTTAAAGTATATAAACTTATCACCAATTATTAGGATCTGTATTAATTGCCATTTTTCTTGCTTAATGTAGGTACCAATCCAATTACCTACTTACAGTACAAGGAAAAAACATAAATAAGAGATCATACAGATCTTGTTTTCTCTTCGCTATCAAAGTCACGTAGAAGTAAAGAGCTCTTGAGTAGGTATTGGAATCACCATTGAAGCTCGCAGAGACCAAATTTGAAACTGGAATCTTTTTGCTCGAAGTGTATCGAGTCCAACATATCGAATGCTCTATCTTTCATAATTTTAATGGCTATGTGACCAGGAGTTTGCACTTCGATTTCAGATCATAAATGTTTTCTCGGAATCTGTAATGGACGTGGAAGCAAGGTGATTTAAGTGCGGGAGAGCCATGCTTCGGCACGAATGGGCCGGATCAACTGGAGTGATACCACAATGTTGTATTTCGCCGTGTGAGTGAGGTAACTGGAGGTCCAATCCTTCCCCTTACCCCGCCCCCGCAATACGTTAATCCCCAAATCTCCTTATTCCCAAAAGGCCGGCAATACATTTTGGTATTGCGAGTATCCATTGGCGGCACTAATTGGTTACCATCAGGAAATCCGTTAGCCACCAACTGACATACCTATAATCTTGATAGGTTGGCCTTGGGACTTATGAACTCATCTAAAAATGTATTTTATTGTATCTACAATAATTTCAGAAAGGATAGATGTCAATGACCACGGTTACCGTCGTCGTGTCGAAGATGACCCTACTAACATTCGAGATGAGTCTAATTCGAATCATGCGGCAGTGGACATCAACTAATGACATCCCTTGACGGTCGTTAAGGCCGGCTCCTCGTTTTATTTTTTCCCCTGAGTGACTAAGTCAGCGAGTTTCCTTTTACAACGGTTTCGTTTTCACGCAAACTAGTGAAAATTTCTGCGCAGTAAATTGACGATGTTTACTGTGTTAGTTGGCAGATGAATTTTAATTAATTGTTGTTAAGGGAACAGAGAGTAAAGTTTCCTAAGATCGGAAAAGGAGGATCCTCCGACCAATCAAGACAGGATATTGCCTCGCGGGCTACTGCCCAACAGTTGTGAGTTCGGATTTTTAATGTTCAATCTCCTGTATACGCGAAGTTTGCGCGATGTAGGTTTTGTTACGTCCTCAGTTGATTTATTATTTTCAATTTTCTATGTGCGTCGCTGCAATCGCGTTGTTTATTTTAATGCAGGTGTAGTATTGTACGACCAGTACGATTGCCGATTACTTTACTACTTTTTATTGAGATTTGAGCTTGTAATTTTCATCATAAAAGATTTAAATCTTTTAGGCATTTATTCGATAATTAGCAGAACAGGATTACCTGATGGTACACAACACCAAAGAAGTTACAGGTGAGTTGCCGGCCTGTTAAGTTCACCCACACTTTTATGTTTTTCTGTTCGTCAGTTAAATTATAAAATGATTTGAATCTTCTGGTATTTTTTCGAAAATTAACAAAACCTTTTATGGCTATCTAACAATTGGCCAGCCCAATTGTTAGATAGCCATAAACGCTTAACATGTCCAAATCTCACATTTAAAAATTGTTAGCTATTGCGCTGGCTAAGAAGAAGAAGAAGAAGGAAAAAAGATACAACTAAAGAACTTTAAACATGTAGTGAAAAGACTTGTAATTGAACAATATTATTGAGAAATATGATTTAAAAGAATACTTTGAAGCAAAATTATGAAAATTGAGATGCTTAAAGATTAATGTTAGAATTTTTTTATGCTTCTTATCGTTTTGTAACTATAGTTTAAAGAAGCATTTTATGTGGTACACTATGTGTCTTATTGCATGCCTATGTAGGTAAATTGTGCAGAGATCATAATATGTAGCCACAATTAGGGCAATAAAGATTTATAAAGATAAAGAAACTAGACTCTTTTGTTCTCAGCTGTTGCACTGGTGTTTTCAATCGTTTCTGGGTATTTAAGTCTCAATGAAATGATTCTTTTTTCAAAAAATAATTGCAGTCTTGAGT